TGTATTTTCTCAGGACATGATCATGTTGGTCAATATTAAAGGGATCTGGATGCTAGATCTTTACACACATATCACTTGAATATATTTCAAGCAGTTTGGAAAGTTTCTTGGTGAAAGTGAGAGAAACTATATGTCAAGTTATTTAAAATCAATAGAGACCCAAACTTTTCAAAACTTGTTCAAGCCATCTGTTACACTGTCCTATGAATTAAGGTGGGATAAAGGGGCTGACTTCCACCACCAGCTCAAATGCCACCTCTTCCATAAAACCTTCCACCATTCTTTAGCTCCTGATTGATTTCCCTGTCTTCTCTTCCTCTTCCTTCTCCTCTGTCTGTATGTCTGCCTGTCTCTCATATAGAAGATGTATTAAACAGACATTTTGGTACCAGACAGTAAAATAAGGGTTTGTAGGTATAAGATGAGTAGCATTCCAGAGAAAAGACTATACAATCATGTGTTAAATTGTATGACCCAGAACTGACTCTGAATCCCAACTCAGCCTCCATCTTCAGACTTCAGTTTTCTCATCTTCAATATGGGAATAATGACACTTGCTCTAACTACCTGACAAGGTTGTGATGAGTCTCAAATGCAGAAATATATGGAAAGCAATTTGTAGACCATAAATCTTTATATAAAAAGAAGCTATTTCTTTCTTATCATTCTCCCATTAGTCCTCCTTAAGGACCTCATCAGATTGCAAATATTCTATTAGTAGGGTCTTTAGAAGTCATCTAGATTAATCCTTTCATTTTTCAAATGAGGAAACTGAAGCCCAAAGAGGTAATTGACTTACTTGCCGAAGGTTTCAAAGGTATATGCATAGAAAAATTTACTATATTCTTATCGTGCTGTTGCATTAACCAAGGATTCTTCAAGGCCTTACCAGCAGAGTGGAAGCTCTGGAGCAACTTTTGAAGGTAGCAAAACTTTCAGTATAGACCCAGCCACGTGCTGTGATTCTGTTATTGGGCATCCAGCATGGAGAAATTTGAAAAAGCTATCACTCAAAGACTGATAACCATGTGATAATTTGGGTGAGGCATGGCAAGGGGGGTTCTACAGCAACTCATTAAAGCTTTAGAGGGTTTCAATTTTCATCAGTATACTCACAATGATGAAGTCACTTCTTCATCCTTAAAGTACAAGTATTCTAGGAATTGAGAATATATGAATAATAATGAGACCTAGAGTCCTCAGGGATGGCTTCAAGGAGGAGCCAAACCATAATTCAGAGTTATAGAATCTCAGAGTTGGAATGGCCATCAAGCTAAACTCCTACCTGTATAGAGATTTCTTATATAATGTCCCAGTCAATTGGCCATCCAGTCACTGCTTGAAGAACTCCATTGATTGGGAACACATTACCTCCTAAGCCAGCCCATTTTTAACAACTCCAAGTGTTAGAAAGCTTTTTTAATTGAGGGAGAAATCTGTCTCTCTACAACTTCTATCCATCGTTCCTTGTTCAGTTTTCTTGGTCAAAACAGAACAAGTCCAATCAATCCTTCTACACAATAGCCCTTTTTACACTTGAAAATATTGATCGTGTTCCCTCAAACATCCACTCAAGTCTCGTTTTCTCTATACTAAACATTCCTAGTTGTCTGTTTTTCTTCCCCAAACAATCCTCATATGACAAGTTTGCCAGTCTCCTCACCATTCTGCCCCCTCTAGATCCACGTCATTTTATGATGATCTACCTAAAATGTGATGTCTAGAAATGAACACAACATTTTGGATGGGATCCAGCCAGGGCAGAGGACAACAAGATAATAACTTTTTCTTTTCGTTCTGGAAATTATGTTTTTCTTTTAAATAAATACAATCTAAAACCTAAAATTACATTTTTTTTTTCAGAGTTGGAGGGGTGGTTCGGGTAGGGGGAGCTGTCATGCCTCACAACTGACTCATTATGAGTCACTAGAGTGTCCAGGCCTTTTCTGAACCACTTTTGGCTAACCATGCCTCCTTGATCTTATGTATGTCGAGTAGTTTTGAATTTAAGACTAGGAGTTTCTGAAAGATGAGACACTGCAGAGGATGTCAGCACCCTGGTCAGAGGCAGAAGGAAAGCTGAGGGCAGTGAGTGAAGTTGACGCTACTGCAAGACATAACCTGGAGTGCCTGCACTGAGCAAAGTTCTGCTTTAATTGTGGGTGTATGTGGATGACACGTCTACTAAACTTAAGAAGGAGGATGCAGAGGTCTTACTCCTGAGAGTAATCAGTCTGCTGATATTAAAGCCTTGTAGTAGTTTTGGCAAAGCAGAGTCATGTGAAGCTCCAGAGTTTAGGAAGGGCATAGCAAAATTTGAAGGATTCCTGGGAATGGGGTTTTGGCCCAGAGGATATACTTTTTCGGATGGGTAGGGGATTCCTCCTTCTTAGGGTAAAACATGTGCTTTCTTCCCTGGGGCTGGTGTAATAGCTCCCTATAGGTACCACTACTTCATGCCTCACTCTGTGCTCCTCTAGATATGCTGAGCTGTTAGCTCTGATGCCTTCTTCAAACAATGCTGCTCGCTATCCCTTACCCCTGTTAGATCATCCTATGGATTATCATCACTTACTCCACTTCTATCCTGCCTTCCCCTAATGAATTTGCCCTAGGCACAATTTTATCTTGTTACAGCTCCGTTTCCCCTGACAGAATTGATTGCCCACACTTCTTCCCAGTTCACAGACCCCAGAATAGGTGACCAAAGAATGACATATGTTTTAATCTCACTTCCCTCTGCAGCAAACACGCTTTGCACTGTTCAATTGCCTGAGGTTTTGTTTTCAAACATTGTGTGAATCTATGATGATAAGGCATTCCTGAGATCACCTATGGCTGGAAATTTGTACCAGGGATGTCTTAAGATTCTATATCATTCACATCAGGATATTTTGAGAGATAGAGGAAAAAAGAAAGGAAAATTCAAATGAGTTTCACAATAGGAATGAAGTTAGTCCCAGTCTGTTGGCCATCCAACCAATCAACCAATATTTATTAAGCATCGACTGTGCACTTATCACACCAAGTACTGAGCTAAGTGCTGAGGCTAACTACAGCAGAGAAGTCTTGGGGATCAAGGAGTAGGGGGTAGGGATTAGTTGGTTCAGATGGGATAGACCAGTTGCCAAGGAGCATCTTAGTACTCTCCTATCTGCCAACGGACCAAGAAAGTTGTGACTACTCAATCTGAATCACCTCTCCTGCATGCTGATGTCTTCCTGTCCAAAGTGGCACATTCATCACATAAGAGGAATCTGCCTCTTCCCTTTTTGTTTCTCTACATTCTGTTCTGCCTAAGTTCAATTCTAAGCCTGTCAATCAGACCACTTTTTACAAGCAATAAAAGGCCCATTTAAGAAAAGGGAATGCTTAAAAAAAGGATGACATCCTGTTAAAAATAAAGCCAAGCATATCAAGACAGCCTGAAGGAATGACGTTTAGCAGCTGAATCCTAATGTAACCTGAAACTGCTGTGAATGGGGCCTTGCGTCTGGCTGAAGTTCACAGAGTTAAAGCATATACCAGATTTTTCAAAGTTCTTTGCTAATGTGCAGTCTTTATTGTGACCACTAGCTTTCTCTGAACTTCAGATTCCTTTTCTGTAAAATGAGTATAATAAAATTTGTGCTAACTACCTCACACAGCAATGGGTGAGGGAAACATTTTGTAAATCTGAAAACAACAAGGAAATCGTGAGTAGGTAGCATGGCACGCTACATTGGAAAGAAAGATGCGGGTTCAGTTCTTTCTCAGATATATACCAGTCATGTAACTCAGGACAAGTCACTTAACTACTCAATGTCTCAAGTGGCCCTTTAAGATTCTAAGGTACAGAGGAGTTAGTGCTCTGCCATTGATGGAAGGTGTTTTTCCACATCAGGAGTTCCCAATACTGATAAAAGCAAGCCTGCCTACCTCTATCACATTCAAGGGGAAAAAAATACACACACACACACACACACACACACACACACACACACACACATATATAATGTTAAGTATCTAAACACTACAAGGTCACAGTTAAACTTCAATTTCTTCCTGATGGCTAATTTTCTTAGGCCACTGAGCAGTTTATATCAGTCTCAATCCACTCAAGCTACTTTCAGATTTTATCTCCTCATCCAGATGCAAAGGAATGAGTACATGGAGCTGGATCACTCTCCCAGTTCTTTGGGTAAGAGACCAAAGCCAATTGTGCCTGAAATGAGTTGATGCCTTTTGCTTAGCTCAAAGAGTCGTTCCCTGCCAGGGAAAATCTGGAAAGGCATGGAAGTAGTTCAGGTTCAAAGAACAAGAAAACAGTTACCTGTCTTGTAGGACATTACAAAGCAGAGTCCTCTAATATGCCTCAGAACAAGATGATGCTTAGCACATGGGAGAGATGAACAACAATGAATATCAGAGAAATAGACCGTATCCATTCCTAATCAATTGAATGCTCATGGCTGATATTTAATTATGCCAAATTCCAAAGTATAGAGACACATTTTTCTGTTCAAAATAGATCAATAGTAAACATTGTACCTATACCAAAATTTCTCTTTCTTCACCCTCATTTTCATAGGTGTGAATCTTTCTGCCTCCATGTATATATGACCATGTCTACCACCATGTGTATTTGTCTCTCTGTGTCTCTGTGTGTGGATATCTCCCCACAGTTGCATGAATTTGTCTATATTTTTCTCTCTGCGCATCTAATTTGTGTGTGTGTCCTCTGTAGGTACAAGACAAAACAGCATTTCTAAATAAATGCTCGACAGAATTCTTCATGGACCAATTAACCACTATTAGGATTAGATAGCCAACTGTGACCACATGGCTCAGACTCTTAGACATGAGGTTACACAAGAAAAACTTCAATGTGAGCATTCCTGTTGCGGCAAAATGACTCTATTATGTTTCTACCAAGCAAATTCTCCCCTGAAGTCACTGAACTTCAGTCAAAATTTCTTAGAGTGAATAATTAGCTGCAAATAGAAAAGAAGGTCTCTTACCTTTCTTTTGTTTGTAGGGCATATGTAGAAGTTGTCAATCACTGTAGTGATGCCTGGCTGTAAGTTGAGTTTGGTGTATGAGGTCCCATAATCTGATGACCTGTAGGAAACAGAGAAAAACATTAAATGTCTACTCAAATTTCCCAATATCCAGTTGGTTTGTAACTGTAATTGTTTACCCTGGGAATCTGCTTCCCTGGCTCCTCTAAGCACAGTATTCATCCTTCACGATCAAGTTAGGCTATAATCTCCTTTAGGCCAGGTATGATTATTTTTCTTTTTTTTTTGTCTGTGTGTCCACAGTTCTGGGCACAGAGTTGGTGCTTAATAAATGCCATCTGACTGATTGATTCAATATCAGCTTTAGTAAAATAACCAGGAAATGCAATGTGGGCATCATCTCATCTTTCCATCCTTCTCCCTCACTTCTCCATTCATGTTCCCCACCTTTTAGTCAAACTGGTCTCATTCTGGTCTGGTTCTTAAAAACAAGCTGCATTTTCCTACCTCTGTGCCTTGGCTTAAACCATTCCCTGGAAAATGACCCCACCTGTGCCTGCTGAAATCAGCACCATCCTTCAAAGCTAAGTCAGCTCGAATGCCAAGTCCTCCATCAAGTCTTTCCTGATCTCCACCGTTAGAAATCACAAAAGCCTAGAATCTCAATTTTGGTAGAAGGCTCAAGCAGCATCTAGCCCATGTTAATTATAAATAGGAATCCTTCTAGAGCATCCCAAATGATTGTTCATCTAGCTTCCAGTTGAAGACTTTCAGTGATGGGCAACTTACTACTGTCTCTGTAGACTTTACAGCTTGTTGTAAAGTAATGTTAGTTCTACCCTGATCATCCCCCAAGAACAAAAATTCCCATCCCTTCAATATAACTATTCTTAGTTTAAATGTTAGGAAAAAAGCAATCTAATTGAGAAAGAATGAAAGAATCTGAGGTGTGGAAGGGACCTCAGAGAATATCTAGTCCAATAAATCCCTAAAAAGGAATCAACTCTTTGAAAACATTAAATACATAGTCCAGTTTTTGCTTGAAGACATCTGAAGATGGGGTGCTCACTATAATCTCCTTATATAGTCCCACTCCATTTTTTATACACTCTCATTGTTTGCAATCTTGTCCTTACATTGAGCCTTACCTTAACCATCTGAAATTTGTGCCTATTGCTTCTGGTTTTGCTCTTTGGAGCCAAGAAGAAGTCTAATCTCTTTAAAATGGTAGCTGGGAATATAGTTAAAATCAATTGTCATCTCAAAAAAAAAAAAAAAAGCTCTTTTCTTCAGACTGAACTCTCAATTCCGCTATCTAACATGTCACAATCTAGAATGAGTGCTCTTGTCCTGAGCTCTGCAGATAAATTTCAGAAGGTCCATGAACTAGGATGGGGAAAATAACATCTTTATCTTCACTACCTTCTAACCAATTTCCTTCAATTATTTCAAGATATTATTCTTTTTAAGGGGTCCATAGGCTTCATAAGACTGCCAAAGGGGTCTACCCACAAAAATGGTAAGAAGGATCATGATCTGAATTATTGGCTGGAAATGGATCATAGGATTATAGAGTTAGAGTTAGAAAGGACTCAGGAAGTCAAGTACAACTCTGTCACTTTACAGATGAGGAAAGGGGTTATGTGACTAGCTCAGGGTCACAGAACTAGTAAGGATCTGAGAAGTGATTTGCACCCAAGTCTTCCCTACTCCCAAATTCAGTGCCTTATCTACTACACCATTTTGCCTCTTGGAAAATAAACTCTTTGGCACATAGGACATAGAACATATATCAAAGCTGTTGAATGACTTGTAGCCTTCCCAGACCCTGAACCCACCAAGGAGAATTCATTTGTAAAAAGACATACTTGTTAAGCCAAATGAATCTCTAATGTCTGGAATGCTCAAGTGTGGGATAAAGTGAAGTATAGAATTTCAAGCATGTCTGGGGAGATCTTTTAAGACAGAGAGGCCCTTCCCAGAGACCTTTAAAATCACATTACAGTGGCCACTTCCATGTCTAGATTGCATAAAGCTGGAACTATTATAAGCTTTCCCCCCACTTTTTTAACAGTCTGTTTGCTTTTTCAGTCAGACATTGTTGAGTTAAGTAACCCATCAAACCTGAATACATGACTTCTTATGACCTTATTGGATAAACACAGTGGGTCATACATGTTTTATGTACAATCATATGCACAACTTGACTCCACAGTGAACTTGGTTTGTTATTCACTGCTACAATAATGAGCTTTGGGAGGGGGACCAGCAGTACTAAGTAGAGGTCCAGATCTACTACAAAGTATCCCACCCACTTCCCAAACCAGTTTCACAGTGAAATAGCAACAATAAGAATTCAGTTGCTTGACACTTTGTGGATACAAATGCTTTTGCATTTGTTATCTTTAAATACATGATTTCATTTTGATTTCATGACAAACCTATAAGGTAGGTAAGGCAAATATTATTTGAGAAGCAGATTTCTACAGGAGACAGAGCACTGGATTTGGAGCCAGAAATTTAGGTTTTGCTCTGCTACTGTTATGCCTATGTGACCTTGGACAAATTACAACCCTTCTGAGCCCATCTAGGTCACACTTACTGGGAGTAAGAGGACTTTGGTTGAGATCACAGCTCTGCCACTTATAAAGTCTAAAGTGAAGGTGCGTCTTGCTCTCTTAGTTAAAGGTAGAACTCTCTTCTTCCCTTTGGAACAGAAATTCCTTAACATCAGGTTTTTGACTAGCATGGTGCCTCATACATTACTTACTAAAGCTTCTTGAAATACAATTAACTGAAAACTTTGGGCATAATCAGGAAATTCTTGTCACCCTTCTCTCTACAAAACAAAACAAAACAAATTTTTAATGTCTCTTTCTAAAATGGGGTGTCCTGAATTAAATAAAATGCTCCATGTACAGTCTGTTCTTATCAATACACATACTCTAAAGTTGAAGGAACTTTTGGTCTAAGTGGTCAAGCTAGGCCATGATGTGAGGGACAGAGGACCAGTCCAGGAATCAGAATCTCCTAGTTTTCTACTGACCACCTTGTACTGCTGGGTCTTTAATGGTGTGCTAGTAAATGTTTAACAATTGATTTACCAGGAAGGGTAAAAACAAAAACAAAACAAACAACCAAAAAAAAAAAAAAAACCAAACCCAGTATACACAATACTTTTAAATTTCTACACTATTAACATTTTCTCTATTACATTTGTAAGTCTGGACAATCAACAAACTATAAATCAAGCCCTGATTTGTGATTTCCAAGATGTAAATGCTCAAACTGAAAATTTAACAATTGACTCTCCCCAAAAGTTAATGCTGGCATCAACACACTCCTGGAGGAGTCTTCATTTGTCTAAGAGGCATAATAATGCTTGACCCATTTACTTCACAAAGCATTTATAAAGATCATAGAACTCAGAAATGTTTAGGACTTTAAAAAATCATCTTTTAAGTACTATGACTCAGTTTACAAAAGATAATTCAAAATACAGGCTTAGGGTAGAGCTCTTAAGTGTGTGATCCTTGATAAGAATACAGGACTCTTGAATCCAAGTCCAGTGATCTTGGCCATGCTATACAGTGACATTTCTAACAACATGCTGATCAATTTAGGTATTGTCTTAAAGATAACAACATGTCAAGTGCAATTTTGATTTCATGGAACAACTAAAACAGTGAGTTAATTTGAAATATGCCATGTAAAGGCTCACAGAATTGGAATTTATGGTCTGTGTTTCATCAGGAAAAAAAGAAATCAACACCTTTCAGGGAGCCAGAACAACTCTTCCCTCTTGACACTTAGGGAGATGATTTGTCCTTGGTTATGCAGCTCATTCACAGAGGAGATGAAAATAGAACCCTGGTCTCCTTATTCCTTGTCTAGTGCTGGTTTTTGCTGTGTGACAGGAAGTCTGAAAAGCTGGGCTGTAGCCCAGGTGCCACCATTACATCCATCATCTTGGACATATTGCTTCCAAGAGGCTCTAAGCCACAATTTCCTCCTCTGGAAAATAATGAGATTGAATCACAATGCTTCTAACATATCTCCTAGCTCAAACATTATATGTTCTAGGTCACCTGCAGGAAGTGAATGGCAGAACATGGAGAGAAACAAACAGGGTTGCTGAGTCTCACCTGGGCATCCTTCTTGCTAAAGCAAATTGCCTTCCAATTAGGAATTCCAAAAAGGCCCCCAATAACAGCATTGAAAAGGTGAACACCATGTTCCTACTACTGTTTAGATGGGCATTTGCATGTGTAAACATATTATTTGTCTCCCATGGCAATGTAATTAAGAAAGCAGTCGCTTTAAAAGCCTTAGGGGAATTGATTTTCTTTGTGAGGAAAGGACAGAAAACAGAAAGACCAATAGAAAATGTTATTGATCCAGAGGTTCAAAAAATTCTTGAACCAGAGAACAAATTACCTTGTTTATCTGGTTAAATGCACTCTTTAGGACCAATTCTACTTTTGACTCAATTAGATGGGGTTAGTACAGCCAATCATAATGATAATAATAATAACAATAATAATACATTACTACTACTACTACTACTACTACTACTACTAATAATAATAATAATAATAATAATACTAACAGGCTAGTCAGGATTCTAACTCAGGTTTTGTGACTTCAAATCCAATATTTTTTCCACTCTACTGGGCTGAAATATCCAGACTAGAGTGGACTTGGGGAGATAGAAGGAGATACTCTTAAAGCTAGCTTGTTTATTTTGCTATGCTGTGGGATGTTATGGGTGAGAAAATCCCTCTACCAATGCAGATATGCACCTCTTCTGAAATGTATAGGCTTTGAAACTTCTCTGGTAGCAGAGACAGTTAAGTAAGCTACCAGGATCACAAAGCCAGGATATGGTAGAGAGGCAAGTGTCAAACCCAGGTCTTTCTGACTCTGATGGCAACTCTCCATGTACTACATTGGTCTGTCTCTCAAAAATAACTGCTTTCTGATTACAAAGCATTTAAATGCATTATATCTCCTTTGATCCTCACAGCAACCTTGTGAGCTATCTAGTACAAATATGACCATGGTCCTATGTAAAAAGCATTGGCTCAGATGTCTGAAGGC